CCACGGAATTATAAGAAGCCTCCCGGGAGCAGGCCGTATAAAAATTATAAAGAAGAAACTCTAAAAAGTTTTAGAAGAGATTACATCTAAGCGTATTCTGACGTATAGTGGCGGTTGAGAATATCCACTACCCCATATCTTCCCGTGGGTGTCGTAAGAGGCGACAGAGGGAGACAGGCAGGAGATGGGCAGCAGCATCTTCCTGATAACAACTGTGATAAAATAAAAAACTGCGGTTGCCAACCCGCTCGCCAAGCGTGGCAACTATGGCAAATATCCCCCCATGAATAATGACGCAAAAAAACGGCCACCAGTCCCCGGCGGCCCCGCTATTCCTGGCTACGGTGGCGACCATGGTAACGGCGGGACAGGGGGTGCTAAGAATCTCCGGTGGAGGTTCGGTTGCCACCTACGAAAACTCGACCTGGCAACATATAACGCACGCACCCTGAGGACTGACGAGAAGATACTGGAGCTGGAAGAAAAGGTAGACAAGTTGAGCTGGCATATTATTGGATTATCCGAGGTCCGAAGAGAGGGGGAGGACACGGCAATCCTCGAGTCCGGCAACTTGTTCTACCACTGGGAGGACGACCATCTGTCCCAAGGAGGTGTGGGATTTATCGTCCACAACTCTCTCGTCAACAACGATGTAAATATTGAGAGTGTGTCGACGAGGGTCGCGTACCTGATACTTAGAATCACCAAACGGTATTCGCTGAAGGTCATACAGGTTTACGCACCAACCTCGGCACATCCCGATGAGGAGGTGGAGGAAATGTATGAGGATATTTCCAGAGCCATACATTCCTCCAAAACCCACTACACGGTGTTGATGGGAGACTTCAACGCAAAACTAGGCACAAGAGAAAGCTGTGAGCTGTAGGAAGGGAAATTTGGAGTAGGGCAACGGAACCGAAGGGGCCAGCAGCTGGCTGACTTTATGGAGAAAGAGGGACTCTTTATGATGAACTCTTTCTTCCAGAAGCGGCCCCACAGGAAGTGGACCTGGTCGAGCCCCGACGGTTCGACAAAAAATGAGATTGACTTCATTATGACGACCAGACGCCAACTGTTCAGTGATGTCTCAGTGATCGCAAGGGTGAAAACTGGCAGCGATCACCGAATGGTTAGAGGCACACTGAACCTAAACGTTAAGTTGGAGAGGTCTCGTCTGATGAAGTCAACGCTCCGTCCCCCTCGTGCTCTGATCCAGAATTCCGAAACCTTTCAGCTCGAGTTACAAAACCGCTTTTGAGCTCGTGACTAGAGGATTGCAATGCAGTGGACGATATGAATGACAAGCTCGTGGAAACTGTCCATGCGCTCGGAGCTAAGTTCTGCAAGACCCGCCGCAGAAGAACACAAAAACTCTCCGATCACACTCTTAAACTCATGGCTGTTAGACGGGAGATGAGGCTGCAATCGTCAACAGATTTGACAGCATACAGGCAACTGAACAGACAGATCTCCAAATGAATGCGGCGAGACTTACGCAACTTTAATACTGCTCGTATTAAAGCGATCATCAACGAAGCGATCGAGCGGAACCAGGGCTCCAAAGTCTTTGCCAGAGATCTGTCTGCCAGAAAGAGCCAACTTTCAAAGCTGAAGACTGAGTGTGGCAACATCGTTCCCGGGACACCTGAGATTCTGAGTGAGATTGAGAGGTTCTATGGGCAGCTGTACACATAATCGTTGGAGCCACACGCAAGTGTGAGTAACGATCCAAGAGCAAGTCTTATCCGACACTATTCCGATGATATCCCGGACGTCAGTCTGAGCGAGATTAGAATGGCTCTCCACCACCTTAAAAACAGCAAGGCCCCGGGCGAGGATGGAATTACAGCGGAGCTTCTGAAAGCGGGTGGAACACCGGTACTTGAAGTCCTTCAGAAGCTCTTCAATTATGTCCTCCATGGTGGCACTACTCCGGAGTCGTGGAGCAGAAGTGCGGTGGTCTTGTTCTTTAAGAAAGGCGACAATGCTCTCTTGAAGAACTACAGACCGATTTCGATTGTCATTACAAATCGTCTCGCACGCAGATTCGACGACTTCCAGCCTCCCGAACAAGCCGGTTTCCGAAAAGGCTTCAGTACCATAGACCACATACATACCCTGCGGCAGATTGTACAGAAGACCGAAGAGTACAATCTGCCACCTTGCCTGGCATATGTGGACTATGAGAAAGCCTTTGATTCCGTCGAAATTTGGGCGGTGCTACAGTCCCTTCAGCGGTGCCAAGTTGACTGTCGGTATATCGAAGTGCTGAAGTATTTGTACAGTAGGGCTACGATGGCTATCCGAGTACAGAACCGGAGTTCGAAACCTATCCAACTGCAGAGAGGTGTAAGACAGGGTGATGTTATATCACCGAAACTCTTCACCGCTGCGTTGGAAGACGTTTTCAAGCTACTGGACTGGAAAGGATACGGTATTAACATCAATGGCGAGTACATCACTCACCTTCGATTTGCCGACGATATAGTCCTTATGGCAGAATCGCTGGAGGACCTTAGCACTATGCTCAATGACCTCAATGGTGTCTCCCAACGGATAGGTCTTAAGATGAACATGGACAAAACAAAGATCATGTTTAATGTCCATGTCACACCTATGCCGGTAGTTGTTGGGAGCACTATGCTCGAAGTTGTTGACGAGTATGTTTACCTGGGACAAATAGTCCGACTAGGTAAGTCCAACTTCGACCGAGAGGTCAATCGACGGATTCAACTCGGCTGGGCAGCGTTCGGGAAATTACGACACATCTTCTCGTCAGGTATACCTCAATCTCTGAAAACTAAAGTGTACAACCAGTGCGTATTGCCAGTGATGACTTACGGACCTGAGACGTGGTCCTTCACTGCTGGCCGTATGAGGACGCTCAAGTTCGCTCAGCGAGCTACGGAGAGGGCTATGCTCGGAGTTTCTCTGCGTGATAGACTCAGAAATGAGGATATCCGCAGTAAAACCAGAGTGACCGACATAGCCCAACGGATTAGTAAGCTGAAGCGGCAATGGGCCGGCCATATAGCTCGAAGAACCGATAACCGATGAGGAAGAAAGGTTCTCGAGTGGCAGCCTCGTACCGGTAGGCGTAGTGTAGGGCGACCCCCCACTAGATGGAGTGACGACCTGGTAAGACATGCAGGAAGTCGATGGATGCAGGTGGCTCAGGACCGTGCTTTGTGGCATTACTTGGGGAAGGCCTATGTTCAGCAGTGGACTTGTGAAGGGCTGTAATGATGATGATGATGATGATTTATTCTGCAGCTGAAAAGTATAGGATACACAGGTATACGTTGTCATCCAAATTAAATGGAAAGGCGCCACTAAAACCTGGAGGACAGCCAGTATTCAGTGAAGAAGAAGAACTTGGCTTTTGCACCACAACTTTTGACTTTTGCACTTGGCTTGGCACCAGAAAATTGTATGCGATTACTAGCAAAGTTCAGCTCTAAGTCAAAATAATTTGCAAAATATTCGTAGTGTAAATGCTAACATTGACAGTTTCCTATTATTACTGACAATAATTAACATTGAGTTTGACATACCTAATAGTCTTGACTGAGTGTTGGTTACATTACAATCATTGTATTCTTTCTTTGCAGGGTTATAAGTACATGCCATCTACGAATCCAAATAATCAAAATGATGGTGTAATGTGTAGTTTTCACAAAAAAAAACATAGAGAGGAACCGCAGCTCTTAGATTCAAGCTCTCTCTTAATTAAGATAGGTAGAGATACTGCAGTATTAGCAATTTATTGACCTGATGCCTTGCATAAACAAACTGATTCATTTTTTTCAATCGTTAAATTGAGATTACCCCGATTCTGCAATGGAATATTTTAATAATGTAACTCCATCTCCTATGCGTCCATCTCCTTTCCATTTCCTAAGGATTATCATTGCTTTAAAGTCAGATAAAGATGTTGGATGGGATGGTATCTCCACTGAACTGCCGAAAAGTACAAAGACATCCTAGTGTCTCCACTGACATTTATTATCAACTTGTGTCTGACGGCAGGTGTTTTTCCGAAGGTGCTGAAAAAAGCTGTGGTACATCCATTTTACAAAAATGGCAACCGAAGTCTACCTTATAACTATCATCCTATATCAATACTGCCGTCGATCTCTAAAATGCCCCGGCTACACGCTCCGTCTTGCCTGTGAGCATGCCTGCACAAACCGGTTTGCGCAGGTAAGCGTGTGTGTGTGGACGGTAAGCCACCGTGGCTTAACGCGCAGGCGACCTGCATAATCGTTGACGTGCCTAAGATTGGACTGCGCGGGTTTGGTTTGCACGGTTTTGCCTCCGAGCTTACTTGAGCATGTGGCCGGTTATTCAAGCCGCGCTTCAGTCGTTCTAAATTCTTGTTGACGACACATGTTATGTTATAAAATCTTAAAAATGAGAAATGTACGCAATTATTCCAGGGATTTTTTAACTGAATTTGTAAAATTCTACAAATCATTGCCGGCGTTGTGGACAATTAAAAGTAAGGAATATTCCGAGAGGAACAAAAAATGAAACTTATCATTTATTAATTGAAAAACTAACTTTCTTATTTGTTGCTTTTTTACAAGTAAACAATAATATAAGGCTCCGTTTAAAAAAAAACCTCTTCTGGCCACATCGTGACGTGACTAGCTCTCAAAACACTTTGAGGTTTGCACAGTCCAGTTTACACAAACTTACCTGCACCAGCCGTTGTACAGTCATGACTGCACAGGCCTGGACTGTGCAGGCAAGACGGAGCGTGTAGCCGGGGCGTAACCTTTTTGAAAAAAATCATAAATTCTAGACTGGTGAACTACCTTGAACAAAAGAATTTGTTATCAAATGCTCAGTTCCGTTTTCACGCAAAAAATTAACATCAGATGCTATACTTTGTACAAACGGCAATGTGTTTGTATGGTGGTGCCATCTGTTATTAAGGATATGAAATAGATAATATGTGTTACGTGTTGCTAAACTAAAATTGTTTTTTATTTTAGGTGACCTATCCAAGCGGAGTTGAAGTAGAGGAAGGCAATGAGCTCACTCCAACGCAAGTGAAGGACGAGCCCGCTGTATCGTGGGACGCTGAGCAGGATGCCGTCTACACCGTTGCTATGACTGGTATGTGTAGCACTAGCTTTCTCCATATTTCTCTTATGTTAAATTTTACCTTTATACAGATGGAGGGGGTCGATCTATGGTAGCTCAGACTAAATGCTAAGCTCTCGTCGTAAATTACACAGTACGTGAGCAGCCCAGGTTCAATTCCTGCTAGCATAAATGAAATTGTTAGTTGCAATTTTATTTGCTGATTTATGTGGTAGAGCCAAACTACAGCTACCTGATGGTTATAGTACGAATGAACGAGGAAGGACTTGACGAGGAAGGACCACACTCTCACCGAACACCAGCGTAAAATAGCAGCTGCTGTCTTTCATATGTGAGAACCGGACACCCTTTCACTGGATACGAGGCATTTCTATCTTAATCCTCAGAGATGTCAACGCATCTGCATTTTAATTCTCAATCGAAGATGAATGTTGATGTCTGTGGGCTGTCACTTATCATCAGGTGGGGTGTGTGCTCGCTTTTCACTATCAGCGGAATCTTAAAATACGCATTTTTTTCTCTTTATTTTGGCACAAACGGTTATTAACAAGCAAAACAAAATTACATAATCTTAATAACTAAAAACTACAAAGACTGCCCAAACATTGCTAATTTTTCTTACATTATTAGACTATTAAATCTCAGACTAACACCAGCTATGCTATACATATAAACATTGCAAAGCAAAGCGTGCCATATCATGGTTACTTGTGAAAATATGTTAAGATATAATCAACCCCTCTCGTCTCATGCATGTCGTGAGATCAGAAGCGGGATGACTCTCTCGCACCCATACTGGAAATTCCTAGATGGTGACGGGAAGCAGCATTAAGGCTGTGAGACGTCCGTAATCACGATCGCCGTAACCGCAAAACGCCTGTCAAGTGTGGCGGTCACTGTGAATCCTCACTACCATGGGAGAGGTACATGTCCAGTACTGGGTCGTTTAGGGGATGGTGAGAATGAGGGGGCTTACATTTATTGTACATATATACATACACATATACATGTACGTGCCGTGTAGTGGCGGTTGAGAATATCCACTACCCCATATCTTCCCGTGGGTGTCGTAAGAGGCGACAGAGGGAGACAGGCAGGAGATGGGCAGCAGCATCTTCCTGATAACAACTGTGTTATAATAAAAAACTGCGGTTGCCAACCCGCTCGCCAAGCGTGGCAACTATGGCAAATATCCCTCCATGAATAATGACGCAAAAAAACGGCCCCCAGTCCCCGGCGGCCCCGCTATTCCTGGATACGGTGGCGACCAAGGTAACGGCGGGGCAGGGGGGTGCTAAGAATCTCCGATGGAGGTTCGGTTGCCACCTACGACGACTCGACCTGGCAACATATAACGCACACACCCTGAGGACTGACGAGAAGATACTGGAGCTGGAAGAAGAGGTAGACAAGTTGCGCTGGCATATTATTGGATTTATCGTCCACAAGTCTCTCGTCAACAACGTTGTAAAGATTGGGAGTGTGTCGACGAGGGTCGCGTACCTGATACTCAGAATCACCAAACGGTATTCGCTGAAGGTCATACAGGTTTACGCACCAACCTCGGCACATCCCGATGAGGAGGTGGAGGAAATGTATGAGGATATTTCCGGAGCCATGCATTCCTCCAAAACCCACTACACGGTGTTGATGGGAGACTTCAACGCAAAACTGGGCACAAGAGAAAGCGGTGAGCTGAAGGTGAGGAAATTTGGAGTAGGGCAACGGAACCGTAGGGGCCAGCAGCTGGCCGACTTTATGGAGAAAGATGGACTCTTTATGATGAACTCTTTCTTCCAGAAGCGGCCCCACAGGAAGTGGACCTGGTCGAGCCCCGACGGTTCGACAAAAAATGAGATTGACTTCATTATGACGACCAGACGCCAACTGTTCAGTGATGTCTCAGTGATCGCAAGGGTGAAAACTGGCAGCGATCACCGAATGGTTAGAGGCACACTGAACCTAAACGTTAAGTTGGAGAGGTCTCGTCTAATGAAGTCAACGCTCCGTCCCCCTCGTGCTCTAATCCAGAATCCCGAAACCTTTCAGCTCGAGTTACAAAACCGCTTTCAGTGCCTAGAGGATTGCAATGCAGTGGACGATATGAATGACAAGCTCGTGGAAACTGTCCATACGGTCGGAGCTAAGTTCTGCAAGACCCGCCGCAGAAGAACACAAAAACTCTCCGATCACACTCTTAATCTCATTGCTGTTAGACGGGAGATGAGGCTGCAATCGTCAACAGATTTGACAGCATACAGGCAGCTGAACAGACAGATCTCCAAATGCATACGGCGAGACTTACGCAACTTTAATACTGCTCGTATTAAAGAAGCGATCGAGCGGAACCAGGGCTCCAAAGTCTTTGCCAGAGATCTGTCTGCCAGAAGGAGCCAACTGTCAAGGCTGAAGACTGAGTGTGGCAACATCGTTTCCGGGACATCTGAGATTTTGAGTGAGATTGAGAGGTTCTATGGGCAGCTGTACACATCATCGTTGGAGCCACACGCAAGTGTGAGTAACGATCCAAGAGCAAGTCTTATCCTACACTATTCCGATGATATCCCGGACGTCAGTCTGAGCGAGATTAGAATGGCTCTCCACCACCTTAAAAACGGCAAGGCCCCGGGCGAGGATGGAATTACAGCGGAGCTTCTGAAAGTGGGTGGAACACCGGTACTTGAAGTCCTTCAGAAGCTCTTCAATTCCGTCCTCCATGGTGGCATTACTCCGGAGGCGTGGAGCAGAAGCGCGGTGGTCTAGTTCTCAAGAAAATAAGAAAGGCGACAACGCTCTCTTGAAGAACTACAGACCGATTTCCCTTCTGAGCCGCGTCTACGTGCTGTTTTCGAGAGTCATTACGAATCGTCTCGAACGCAGACTCGACGACTTCCAGCCTCCCGAACAAGCCGGTTTCCGAAAAGGCTTCAGTACCATAGACCACATACATACCCTTCGTCAAATTGTACAGAAGTCCGAAAAGTACAATCTGCCACTTTGCCTGGCGTATGTGGACTATGGGAAAGCCTCTGATTCCGTCGAAATTTGGGCGGTGCTACAGTCTCTTCAGCGGTGCCTAGTTGACTGTCGGTATATTGAAGTGCTGAAGTGTTTGTACAGTAGGGCTACGATGGCTATCCGAGTACAGAACCAAAGTACGAAACCTATCCAACTGCAGAGAGGTGTAAGACAGGGTGACGTTATATCCCCGAAACTCTTCACCGCTGTGTTGGAAGACGTTTTCAAGCTACTGGACTGGAAAGGATACGGTATTAACATCAATGGCGAGTACATCACTCACCTTCGATTTGCCGACGATATAGTCCTTATGGCAGAATCGCTGGAGGACCTTAGCACTATGCTCAATGACCTCAATGGTGTTTCCCAACGGATAGGTCTTAAGATGAACATGGACAAAACAAAGATCATGTTTAATGTCCATGTCACACCTATGCCGGTAGTTGTTGGGAGCACTATGCTCGAAGTTGTTGACGAGTATGTTTACCTGGGACAAATAGTCCGACTAGGTAAGTCCAACTTCGACCGAGAGGTCAATCGACGGATTCAACTCGGCTGGGCAGCGTTCGGGAAATTACGACACATCTTCTCGTCAGGTATACCTCAATCTCTGAAAACTAAAGTGTACAACCAGTGCGTGTTGCCAGTGATGACTTACGGATCTGAGACGTGGTCCTTCACCGCTGGCCGTATGAGGACGCTCAAGGTTGCTCAGCGAGGTATGGAGAGGGCTATGCTCGGAGTTTCACTGCGTGATAGACTCAGAAATGAGGATATCCGCAGTGAAACCAGAGTGACCGACATAGCCCAACGGATTAGTAAGCTGAAGTGGCAATGGGCCGGCCATATAGCTCGAAGAACCGATAACCGATGGGGAAGAAAGGTTCTCGAGTGGCAGCCTCGTACCGGTAGGCGTAGTGTAGGGCGACCCCCACTAGATGGAGTGACGACCTGGTAAGACATGCAGGAAGTCGATGGAAGCAGGTGGCTCAGGACCGTGCTTTGTGGCATTACTTGGGGGAGGCCTATGTTCAGCAGTGGACTTGTGAAGGGCTGTAATGATGATGATGATGGTGATACATATACACTTATACATATACTAATGTATATATACTACACTATTACTAGCAATTACTAATTGGTCCATACAATGTGTATTGATAAATACATTTTAGAGATCTATGCCTGGATTACTAATACATGCTATGGAGACGATATGAAAGTACACAATTTATTGTGGTTTAAATGTTTTTTAAATATTATTTTTTATTGAGTTCATAGAGTTATTAAATAGATCTATATCATGAAATTAAATTCATGGCCATATATTATTTGTCGAAGCATACGAAATCGCTAACTTATGAGAACACCGTATGCTCATTTTCACACAACGCCTTTTTCTTATGTAAAACTCATTAACATGGTAATTTATATAATTGTGAAAATTTTCGCAGGCGCAAACCTAGCGAGTGCTATAAAATAGAAAGGCTAACTCGCATGGAAATGAACTTAGCGTTTTTGCATTGTTGAATAGTGCGTCTCAAAGTAATTTTATAACGCATCAATGTTGTCAACGTTTAGGATTTTTTTTTCAAACAAGACGCCTTCATGTTCCGTAGTGAAGGGAATTAGGCTTCAATATAACGGTCCAAGGTTCAATAAATTTAAAATTTTATTCGCATTTCGATCGTAGTTTTAATTTTATTATAAATTCATTAGTCGTAGACAAAGTGACCGAGCTTCTGTCAATTGTTTCAGTCGATGCCTCCGCAATGACCAATTTCAATAGTTTGGCTTTAGCGGATGACTTATTCCGTCCCTGGGGACATTCACATGCTCATTGGGGCATCTATTTTCCTCGCCTCTTGTTATATAACAAGCTTAAGGGTAGCTCCTCGTGTATCGCACCTTACGCATTGGAAACCGTTATAGGTTATGTTATTGTTGGTTTTGCTCCTACTGTGGATAATGTTTCGGCAATTTCTTATTTTTGC